TGCTGCTGGCGCTCAGATTTGCTGCCGCGGGGGCGGGGCGCTGAAGCCGAGCACGAGCGGGGGCTGGGTGCACATATTTTGCTGCTTGTTTTTGATGCCGGAGGCGATTTGCGCGGAGCTGCAGCGGCTGGAGCCCTGGGAGTTGGGGGAAGTTGCTGCGTGGCGTTTTGCTGCTGCTTGCTCGCTGTGTGGGGTGTCGGGGGGCGCATGCGTCCGCTGCTGCCACTTGGGGTGTACAGACACCTTCCACCCCATGTGCGCCTGGCTCGCCGGCCTCCACTGCGCTGCTGCGCCTCTCCCGGGCCTTTTCCTCGCAGTCCGCGGGGCCCTCGACCACTGCTTCCCCAGACTCAAAGTCACTGTCTTTTGCTTCCGACACACCCCGGAGGCCCCAGGAGTCAGGTCAGTGACCCAGCACCCTCGCTGCAAGCCACAGAGGCCCCGAGGGGCCCCAGGGGGCCCCTGGGGGGCCCCAGGGGGGCTCAGGGGGCCCCACTGGGGCCCTCGGGGGGCCCCAGGGGGGCTCAGGGGGGTCCAGGGGGGCTCAGGGGGGTGCCCAGGGGGACAAAGTGGGGCCCCGCAGGAGTGGGGCCCCAGGGGGCCCCAGGGGGCCCCAGAGGGCCCCCAAGGGGGGCATAAGGGGGCTTCAGGGGCTTTGATGGAGAGATTAAAAGGGAGCCTCGAGGTGGGCTGGGGAGGAAGCTTTGCGGCTTACGGCTTAGTGGTTGTGCCCGCTGTTTGCTGCTGTCTGCTGCTGTGTGCTGCTGTTTGCTTGCTGCTGTTTGCTGCTGCTTGCTGCTGTTTGCTGCGGCTGCAGGCGCAGCTGCGCTCTTCAGGCTGTGCTGCGCGCCCGCCGCTACGTAACTCGGGACCATTTCCCAGAGCTGCATGCACTGAGTGAGAGGAAGGGGGCCTTTTTCCTGAAGCGCGCGCTGCCTGCTGCTGCTGCTGCTGCGCGCCGCAGCACAGCAGCAGCAGCAGCAGCAACGAGCTCTCCCGTCAACAGCGGCGCAGCTGCAAACACCCCCACTAAGGCGCAGCTGGCTGCCACTGCCGCGTCGCCCGCCGGCACGGGGGGCCCTGCTGTTGCTGCCTCCACCCGGCGCTCTGCAGCAGCAGCAGCAGCAGCAGCAGCAGCAGCAGCAACGCCGCATGCAGCGGGCAGCAGCAGCGCTGGGCAAACCCCTGCAGCTGCGGGGCCGGGACCCAACAGCCTCTCGGCCGGCAGAGGCCCTTCTTCGCCTGCTGCAGGCAGCGTGAACGGCACAGCAGCAGCAGCAGCAGGAGCAGCAGCAGCTGGCGCTGCAGCCGGCGGCCCGGGGCTGACAAAGGCCGGGGAAAGCCCCGCAGCAGCAGCAGCAGCAGCAGAGGACGCGGCGGAGAGGGCCTTGCTTGATGAAGTGGACTTTTATCAAGACCATTGCTGCGCTGTTTGTTTGCTGCCAAAAGTTACAGCCAGCAGCAGCAACCCGTTTTTCTACTGCGCGAAGTGTGGGGTGTCTGTACACCGCATGTGCTACGGGGTGCCCTTGGAGTGCCTGCCTGCTGCGCTGCGTCCCGATCTGCAGCAGCAGCAGCAGCAGCAGCGGCAGCAGCAGCGGCAGCGGCAGGACGCGCAAGGAGCGTCTGCGAAAAGGCAGAAACAGACGGCCAGCACACAAGACACCAGCAGCAGCAGTAGCAGCAGCAGGACGATGGTCGCCTCACCCGACGGCCGAGACAGCAGCAGCAACTGCAGCGGCAGCACATACAGCAGCAGCAGCAACACAGCGACGACGCCTGCCGGGATCCAGAGAGGCTCGAAGCGCCCTCATTCAGAAGTTGGAGGGGCTGCAGCAGAAGACAGCAGCAGCAGCAGCAGCAGCGCGGCGTATATGCCGGTGCCGTTCCTCTGCGAGCCTTGTCGCTACGCGCCCAACAGGGACGAGGTGGGGCCGCAGCTTCCACAGAAATAGGCCGTTTGCTGCTGCTGCTGCTGCTGCCGCTGCTGCTGCAGTAGCAGCAACAGCTGCCCTTTCTTCCTTGCTAGAACTGTAGCTGCTGCTACTTTCTCTGCTGCTGCTGTCTCCTGCAGGTAAGCTGCATGATTTGCCCTCGCCGCGGCGGCGCCCTGAAGCTGGCGCTGCCTGCTGCTTCTGGCTACACGCCCGAGACAGTGGCGGCAGCGCCTGCTGCTGCTGTTGCTGCTGCTGTTGCTGCTGCTGTGAGGAACAGCCAAGAGGAGCCGCTGCAGTTCGTTCACATGCTCTGCGCTCTCTGGACTCCGGGAGTGGAAGCAGCAGAGACAGACAGCCTCTCGCCAATTGTGGGGGTTGACCTCGCGCTGCAGAGCCAGTTGCAGCAGACGCCGTGCAGCAGCAGCAGCAGCAGCAGCTGCGACGGCAGCGTGGAGAAGAAGGACGCTGTGAGGCAGCAAGAACAGCAGGACCAGCATCAGGAGCAGCAGCAGCAGCCGCAGCAGTCCCCCGCTGCGTCGGTTGTATCGAGCGGCGCGGAGGCGCCAGCAGCCGCTGCTGCAGCAGGTGCCAGCCCGCAGCCGCAGCAGCAGCAGCAGCAGCAGCAGCCGGTGGACGCGGGCAGCAGCCGCAACCGCGCGGCCTGCAGCGTCTGCGGCCTCGCCTCCGGGCTGCTGCTGTCATGCTGCAGCCCCGGCTGCGCTGCTGCTTTCCACGCGCTGTGCGCGCAGCTGCGCGGCTGCTTCATGGAAATGGCAGAAAACTCTTCTGCTGCTTCTTTTACTGCCACTGCCTTTTGTCTCGAGGTGGGCCAGCGCGGGGTGTACAGATACCTGCTGCGGTGTACAGAGACCTGCTGCGGTGTACAGACACCTGCGGTGTACAGACACCTGCCGCGGTGTACAGACACCTGCTGCGCTGTACATACTGGGGTGTACAGGCAGCTGCTGGGGTGTACAGGCAGTTGTTGGGGTGGACAGGCAGTTGTTGGGGTGTACAGGCAGCTGCTGGGGTGTACAGACACCTGGGGCAGCCCTGGCCAACTGAGTGGTGTGTACTGCTGCCGTTCTTGCCTTCTGCTGTTCTCTTTCTAGTGTCATCAAGGGTTTAGGGTTTAGGGTTTAGGGTTTAGGTTTGGGGATGCATGTCCAGTGTGCAGCTGCTGCTGCCGTCGTTTGCTGCTGCAGCATTCTCAAACGCGCAATCAAATATCCTACAGCGTTCGCCTGCTGCTGCGGCTTCGCTCGTTCCTAGAGCTCGTAAGCGCCTGAACAGCAATAGCAGCAGCAGCAACAACAGCAGCAGCAGCACTGGCGGCAGCACGCCGAGCAGCAGAAACCGCAGAAGCAGCAGCAGCAGCAGCTCTAGAGTCGCCACGCAGTCAGTAGCTCGTGATTTGGGCGTCGATCGGAAGATGGCCACCCGGCTGTGCAAGTTATTGCTGCTGTTGCTGCTGCTGATGCTGCTGCTGCTGCTGCTGCTGTGTTGCAGTCACGGATGCTTGTGGGCGCTGTCTCTGAGCGTGAGCACAGCAAGAGGCTGTACATCCAGCAGCGGCGGAAGAGCCTTGCTGCTGCCTATCCTCTCCGCCCTTCAGAAGGCGGTGACCTCGTCTCAGGACAGCAGCAGCAGCAGCAGCAGCAACAGCAGCAGCAGACACAGGGCATGCCAGTGGATGGTCACACAGACACCAGCGAGTTGGCCGTCGTGCACAGTGAGACTGGCTTCCGCTGCACCCTCCTTTCTGAGCAGCAGCTGCAGCAGCTAGTGCAGCAGCAGTTGCAACAAACACAGCAGCAGCAACAGCAGCAGCAGCAGAAGGGGAACTCGCTGAAGGGCAGGCTGCTGCAACTGCTGGCGTCCCGGACTGCTGCAGCTCGCGAAGAGGCCATGGCACTCGCAGCCTCGGTGCAGCAGACATGGGAAACGATCCTGTCTGCTGCTGCTCCTGCTTCTGCTGCATTTGCTGCTGCTGCAGCAGAGACTGCGGGGAACAGCGCCACAGTAGCAGCACCAGCAGGAGGGGTAGCAGCGGCAAGGTCGAGCCCTGCGGCCCCCGGCGCTCCTGACCAGGCCCAAATGCTGCTGAACAGCAGCAGCAGCAGCAGCAGCAGCAGCAGCAGCGACTATGAGGGAGGCGAGGACGACTTTGGGGTCCCTGAGGGGTTGTTTCTAGACGATGCGACTGACGATGAAACTGTCAGAAACAATTATATGTCTTTTTTTGTTTCGGGCTCCCCCGAGGCCTCAGCAGCAGCAGCGGCAGCAGATTCTGCAGGTGGCGCTGCAGCAGCAGCAGCAGCAGAAGCAGCAGCAGCGACTCGAGAGCTGCTGCCCTTGCTGAACCCACCGCATCCGGAAGCAGCAGCAGCTGGTCCTGCGCCACAGCAGCAGCAGCAAAGTGAAGTGCCCTGCTGCTGCTGGAGTAAAACGGGGCCGCCAGCAACAGCAGCAACAATGGCAGCAGGTGCAGCAAGAGATGCCGTTGCTGCCTGTCCAGTTGGCGTAAGGAGTTACCTTGTTGGTGCAGCAGCATTAATGGCGCTTCAGCAGCTGCGGCTGTTTCTTGTGCGGCAGCCGCTGCAGCAGCTGCAGCAGCAGCAACAGCAACGAGATGGTGCTGCAGCAGCGGGGCCAGACGGAGATACAGCGGCGTCTCACCGCCTAAAGACAGCAGCAGGCGCTCCCTGCGCTGCAGCAGCACCTGCAGCAGCAGCAGCAGCAGCAGCAGCAGCGTGGCCCCTGGATGACGACAGCAGCTACGTTATGGAGCTTGCGGGCCTCCGCCCTTTGCTGTCGCCCCTCATGAGGGGCCTCAGCAGCGAAGGTTTGCTGCTGGAGTTGCATGCTGCTGCTAAGTGCTGCAGCTATCCTTGCTGGTGCTGTTTCGTGGCTGCAGTTCGAGGCAGCAGCAGCAGCAGCAGCAGCGGCAGTTGCGGTGCTGCTACTGCTTCTGCTGCCCATGTTCCAGCATCTTATGATGCTGCTGCTGCAGCTGCAGCACAGACCCCGCAGCTCCAGCACAGAGGAACGCTGTCTGCTGCTGCGGCTGCAGCTGCTGCTGCTGCTGCGCGGGAACTCGCCGCACGGCAACTGGGTTTCTGGACAGACTCTGTTGTTGCTGCTCTTCGTGATGCAGCAGCAGCAGCAGCAGCAGCCGCAAGCAGCCCAGGAAGTGCAGCTGCGCATGCGGAAGCTTGCGCCGCTGGGGCGGAAGTGCTGCAGCGGTTGCTGCACCCCAGCAGCAGCAGCTGGACTGCTGCTGCTACCGCTGCAGAGAGGGTGCTGCCGCCAACAGATTGGCGGGGGACTATAAGACGAGTAAGAGGGAGGCCTGGAAGAAGCAGCAGCAGCAGCAGCAGCAAAACCAGCGCCACTAGCAGTAGCAGGGACAAGCAGAGGGAGAGTAGCAAAAGCAGCGGCAGCAGCAAAAGAGAAAGCAGCGGCAACAGCAGCAACGCGGGCAAAAGCAGTAGTGGCAGAGGAAACAGCAGCAGCGGCTGCAGTAGCAGTAGTAGAGGTAGCAGAAGCAGCAGCAGCAGTGGCAGCAGCAGAGGAAGCAACTGCAGCACCAGCAGCAGCAGCAACTCTGAGAAAGGCAGAGCTTGAGAGACAGGCTCAGGGTCAGCTGGATCTCTTGAGTTAAAACGAAATAAATAGAATTAACGAATTTCCCAGCTCATCTTTCTGCTGCTGCTGCTGCTGCTGCTGCTATTGCTGCTGCTGCAGGGCGCAGCAGCCATTGGCCGCCGCGTGGCTCTGTACTCTCCCTACATGGACGTTTGGTACGGAGGCCTGGTTGTCTTCTGCGACAGCAGCAGCAGCAGCAGCACGAGCAGCACCAACAGCAGCAGGAGCAGCAGCAGCAGCAGCAGCTGCTGCTGCAGCAGGGGGCCTCAGGGGCCCCGGTACCTCGTGGCTTACGACGACGGCGACTGCGCGTGGGCGCAGCAGGAAGGAGCAGCAGATTGTTTTCTTTTTGCTGCAGCAACAGAAGACAAACCTTTGTGAGCTTTTTTTTCGTTTTTTGATCTTTTTGGATTTTTTTTGTTCTTTGTTGATTCTTTTTTGATTCTTTTTTATTCCTTTTTTGGTTCTTTTTTATTTCTCGTTCTATTTTTTTTTGTTTCTCTTTTATTTCTTTTTAATTTCCTTTTTCGTTCCTTTTTTTTGCATCTTTTTCTCCTTTCCCATTCTTTTTTGTTTTATTTCATTTTGCTGCTCTTTTTTCTTTTTTCTCTTTTCATTTTATTCTTCATTTCCTTTTTTCTTTTTTATTTTTTTGATTTTATTTTTTATCTTTTTTGCTATTTTATTTTCTCTTTTCCTTTCTGTCCTTTTTGCTTTTCATCCTTTTTCATTTTTGTCTTTTTCATTTTGTTCATCTTTTCTTCTTTAATTATTTTTAATGATTTTTCTTTTAATTGTCTTTTACTTTTCCTCCTATTTATATTTTAATTTTCCCTCCTCCGCATCTTTATTCTTTTTCTGCGTTTCATTTTAGTTCCTTCTTTTCCAGTTTCCTTTCTTGCTGCTGCTGCTGCTGCATTTGCTGCTGCTGCATTTGCTGCTGCTGTTGTTTTGCTTTAGGTGGATGGAGGCGCTCAAGCGGCGCCGGCGGCCGAAGCTGCAGCACGCGGTGTCTGTACTCCTCAAGCAGCAGCAGCAGCAGCTGCTGCTGCAGCAGCAGCAGCTGCAGCAGCAGGCTGTCACGGGGACCTGCTGCAGATGCGGCGCCATCTGCACAAGCACCAACTCCAGCGCGGGCCACCCGCAGCATCAGCAGCAGCAGCAGCAACAACAGCAGCAGCAGGATACACAGGATTGCCCAACAACGAAGGGCATATTATGCTGTTAGTGTCTTTCCCCCTTTTCTTCTTCTTATGCACTCTTACCTGCTTTTGACGTTGCAGCGGCTGCGCAAGCTGCTGCTGCTGCTGCTGCTGCTCCTGCTGGAGAAAAACTAAATTCCAGTCTGCTGTTGCTGCTGCTGTCGTGGGATGCTGCAGGCCGCGGCGGGTGCGGCGCTCTCTGCTGCAGCCGTTGCCTTGCGGGCGCTGCCGTAAGTTTAGCTGCTGCTTCTGCTGCTTCTGCTGCTGCTGCTGCTGCTGTTACTGCTGCAGTCGCCGCTTTTCTGGTTCATTTGCTGCTGCTGCTGCTGCTGCTGCGGCCTGCTTTTGTTTCTTCAGGGGGCTCAGCCGTGGCGCTGCCTGCGTTGCAATGGGTGAGCCTGCTCTTGCTGCTGTCTTTGCTGCTCTTCCTGCTGAGTTTGCTGCTGCTGCTGCTGCTGCTGCTGCAGCGGCAGTCGATGCTCCCCTGAAGTCAGCTACGATTTTGAGTTGCTTTTATGTGCTGCTTCAGGCCATTATGATCAGTGCAAAGGCAGCAACAGCAGCAGCAGCAACAGTGGAGCAGCAGCAGTAACAGCAGCAGCTGCAGCAGCGACAGTGACAGCAGCTGCAGCAGCAGCACAAACAGCAGCAGCAGCAGCAGCAGGAGCGCAGGCTCATAGACCCGAGCTTTGTCTGCATTTCAAGGTCTCAGAAGCAGCGCAGCAAACTCCGTGCTGCTGCTGCCCTGCACTCTCCTCTAGCAGCAAGCAGCAAGCTAGGTGCCCTAGTGCAGCTAGCTGCAGCAAGCCAGCAGCTAGCTAGCTGCTGCCCTAGCTAGCTAGCTAGCTAGCCCCACACGTGATATCTTGGCTTTGCCCTAGCGCTCTTGTGTTTTTGTTTGCGTGCATTTTGGCGTTCTTAAACCCTTTTTAAAGCGTGATGCATGGCTGGGGTTTAGGGTTTAGGGTTTAGGGTTTAGGGTTTAGTGTTCTGGCTGAGAGTCTCGCCGTTTTTGGCGTCTGCCGGTTTCGAGAGTTCAGCATTTAGGAATTCGAGTTTAGAGTTTCGGGCTTACAAATTAAAGTTGAGGGTTTAGGGTTTAGGAATTAGGGATTAGGGTTTAGGGTTTAGGGTTGGGGCTTCGAGGGTTTATGGGTGGCAGACACTGCATGTTTAGGTTCGCCTGCGGCGCGGTCTCGGGGTTTAGGGTTTAGGGTTTAGGACTTATTGTTAATTTTTGAGATTAATTTTGAATCAAATTAAATTAAAATGGCAACAAATGACAAGAGGATCTTTTATTTGCTGAGGACTGCGCAGCAGGAGGCCAGGGAGGATCTGCTGCGTTGTTCGTTAGCTCTAAGTGCTGCAGCAGCAGCAGCAGCAGCGAGACTCATTTTTAGAGGAATATTTGAAGGTTTTTGAGTTATTTAAATTAAATTGAATTAATGTTTTGAAAACTGGACGGAAGGAGGAAAGGGCCGGAGGCGAGCGGCGGCGGCTCGTGGAGCCGGGGTGGCTGCAGGGCTGGCTCTCCCGGTGGCAGTGCTCGCTGCAAGGTTTTCCCGAATAAGTTCCATGAAATATGTTTTTTTTGGAATTAATTACGAATTTTTAGTTGAAAATCTCCCAAACATTCCCGTTTGTCGAGTCTCGCCTCCGCCGTGCTGCCGCCTCGCCTGGCAGCCTCCCCCTGCCTGTACACCCGCACTTCTCCGCGGGCCGCGCCGGATCTTTCGAATTAAAGGACTTTTTAGACTTTATGTGTTAATTAAAGTCCATTTCTTTGGCCAGAGGCGCTCAGAATGGCGTGGCTGCGGCCCGGGGCTGCGTCGCACGCTGCTGCAGGGCCCCTCTTTCAGCCCGAGGGCTTTGCTGCGGTCCCGGGGGCTCCGGGGGCCCCCGAGGCCCTGGGGGCCCCCGCAGCATCCTCGGACTCGCCGCTGCGGCCGCTGCTGCAGCAGCGTCGCAAGAACCGGACCAATGGTCTCGCGTACGCGGGCGCAGCAACCCTTGTGCTTCTTGCTGCGCTGCTGCTGTGCCGCGGCTTCTCTGCTGCACCGCAGCAGCAGCGGGGGCCCGCCGTGGGGCCCCCCACGGACCCCCGGCCCCTCTCGCCTTTCGGGGCCCGCAGGACCCTGGGGGCCCCCGAGGGGCCCCTGGGGGCCGCCGAGGGGCCCCCGGAGACCCTCGAAGGCAAAACAAGACCCCAAAAAAGAAGAAGAAGTGAATTTGTGCAGCTAGGAAGTGTTAGGAAGCGGCGGCTGCTGTCTTTCTATGAAGGTTCTGCTGCAGCAGAGCTGCTGGTGGCTCTGACGCGGGCCTTCACCGACAGTTCGCGAGCAGCAGCAGCAGCAGGGCGCAGCCTGCTGACGGGGGAAGCAGCAGCAGCAGCAGCAGCAGCAGCAGCAGAGGGCGGCAGCCTCACCGTAGACGTGCACCCGCAGCACTCCCACGATTTTCTGCTGTGGGCCAAAGCCCTGGGGCTTCCCCACGGCGGCAAAAGGCAGCAAAGGCCCTGGACTATTGCCCACATGCCCAGCAGCAGACACAGCAGCAGCAGCAGCAGCAGCAGCAGCAGCAGCAAAGAAAAAGCCCCAGACGGCAGCGCAGCAAAAGACCCATCAAGGGCCCCTCAAAACACCGCCGGAGAAAAAGCCACAGGGGCCCCCACAGGGGCCCCCGGGGGGGCCCCTGTGGGGCCCCCCGTGGGGGCCCCCCTGGGGGCCCCCAGAGATATCATGGGGGGCCTTATTAACCGTTTGCAGCGTGCTGCTGTTTCTCGTGAGGAAGATTTTCTTAGGGACTTGGGGCTGTGGCTTGTGGAGGCCCGGAAGGAAGAAAATGCAGAAAAGTGCGAAACCCTAAACCCTAAACCCTAAACCCTAGCTGGACTCCCTGGGGCGCAGCTGGCCCCGGGAGGTGTAAGTGCTGCTGCTGCTGAGGGCCTCCGTTTTCCCGCTTTGGTTGCTGCAGCAATTCACCCGAGTTGCGGGCTTGCTTCGAGGCAGGAGGGTTTAGGGTCTAGGGTTTAGGGTTTTGGCTAGCCGTTTGCCTGAGAGCTGCAGCTCCTGTTTGCTGCTGTTGATTGTATTTGCTGGCGCTTTTGTCTTTGGCTTTTTGGATTTAGGGTTTAGGGTTTAGGGTTTAGGGTTTAGGTTTTGTTCGCACTGCGCTGCTATTTTTACCCCGGTGTTTCCTCATCCGTTAAATGGCTCTTTCTCTTGCTGCTGCGTGTGGAAAAAGAAAAGGTTTGAGGCTGAATTTCCCTAAAAGAAAGGCATTAGGGTTTAGGGTTTAGGGTTTAGGGTTTGGCTTGGTGTTCGGTGGCGGCGATTGGGGTGTAGGTACACTGCGCGATGGCTGGCTGCACAGGCGGTGAGTTTGGGTTTGTGCGATCTTCCCTGGAGGACCAGTTGTTTTATTATTGAAAATATTGATTAAAATGAATTAAATGGATCTGATTCATTGAAGTAAACTGGTGTAAACTTTCTTTGAATGGGAGTGCGAGCTGCCGCGTCGAGCGGCGGCGGCTCGAGGCATTTGCTGCCGCGTGAACGCCGGCGGCCCTGTCAGTATGTGTTACTGCAGTTATTGCATTCATCTATGTATATATTTATTTATATTTACATTTATTTACATTATTCTGGCATAATTCAGAAGAATATATACATCTTACCTTCATTGAGGGGCCCCCGCGCGCGTCTGACTGTCCCCGGCAGCAGGTGGGGGGCCCCGCACAGCGCGCTTGGTGAGCTGCGCAAAGTCGCGGAGCAGCAGCAGCAGTTGCTGCTGCTGCACTTACTGCTGTCCAGCAGGTGCTGTAGCGGCGGGTGCTGCAGCGGCAGGTGCTGCTGCTGCTGCAGCAAGTGCAGCACCTGCCCTGCAGCTGCAGCTGCGGCGGCAAGTGCAGCACCTGCCCTGCAGCTGCAGCTGCTGCGGCCACTGCTGCAGCTGCCTGCTGCAGCAGCAACAGCAGCTGCAGCAGCTTCAGGACAGCAGCAAGGCGCTGCCTAGCGCGAGCAGCATGTAGTGAATATTGTAGATTTAGGGCCTGGAGACGTTTCTGCCGAAATGTTTGAGGCCCAGCAGCACATATTGAACAGCAAAGAAGTGCAGCAGCAGCTATCTGGATTTCGCAGCAGCAGCAGCAGAGGAAGCTGCTGCTGCAGTTTGCAGTAGTGGGGCCCTCCTTGTCCCATGATGCGGGGCCCCTGAGAAGCAGTTAAAGGGTACTACTTGGGAAATGCGACTGGTTGCTGCAGCAGCAGCAGCTGGTTACTGCTGCAGCAGTTCGTTTCCTGCTGGTCTTGGAAACAGCAGCAGCAGCAAAAAGTAAATGAAGCTCCATCCCCTGCGGCGGTCTGCGCCGCCCGCGGGCTGTACAGACACTCCAGCTGCAGCAGCAATTAAGGTTTGAAGTTGCCTCAGACTCTTTCTTTGATTTCTTTCCGCCTGAGAGGTGAATATTTTTGAGCAGGCACGAGGGTTTGCTCCGCTGGACAGCGGAGGGTTTAGGGTTTAGGGTTTGGGGTTTAGGTCCTGGGCTTTAGGGGCTAGGGTTTAGGTTTTAGGGTTTGAGGCTTGGGGCTCAGATTTTAGGGTTTGGGGTTTAGGGATTAGAAACTAAGGTTTGGGGGTTTAGAGTTTGTTTCCTAGTTTACTATTTATTACTTTTTCATTTCTTTTCATTTCTATGTATTTTATTTTTCATCTGTTTAAGAAACGGCCATTTGCCTCTCTGCAGGCGCGGTGGAGCGCAAGGTTGTGCTCTGGGGTGTATGTACACCTCACTCAAATGGGGTGTATGTACACCTCACTGAAATCAATGCGGAAATAATTAAAAAGAAATCAAAGTTAAAAAATGCATGCAGCGCTGTATATACACACGCACTTGCTGCGTTTAGGTGTACATACAGATTAAAGTATACATTTGTTTATAATATATATATCTATGCATGTATATTTATAGTGATAGGTTTATATATCATATATACACATATACATAATATACGTTTACATATATATATGATGTACATCTATACATATATATATATATATACTATGTATACAATATATATATATATATATTATATATATGTGTATGTATATATGTGCGTGCGTGGATGTGCATACAAGCCACCGCTGCAGCTACTTCTACTTTAAACCTGCCCATATTTGAATATCAAGAAACTCATTTTTGCATTCAGAGCGGCCCCACAACTGGCGCTGCTGCCTCCACACGTGTTGGCCCTTAGGGGGCCCCTCTGGGTCCCCTAAGAGGCCCCTAGGGCCTCTTAGGGAGCCCTGGGGCCCCTGGGCGTACCGCAGGAGGTCTCCGTAGGGGCTTCTCTAGGGGCCCTTTGGGCTACCCCCCGGGTACCCTCGTGAGGCACCCCGTGGGGCCCTCAGGGGGCCCCCGGGGGCTCCAGGGGGGCTCCCGCGGGGCCCCCAGGGGTTCCCCCAAGGAGGCCCCTGGGGGGCCCCAGAGGGGGGGCCCCTCTGGGGCCCCTCAGGGGGCACTTTTGTGGATGTGTATACTTAAATGGCTGGAAAGTAAAGAGGACTCCGGTTTATTCTTTGAAAGAGTTGGAAAAAAATGGAAGACAAACAAGAAGTCTTTTTCCTGTGCACTTTAATAGGGCCCCTTCAGCACCGAGTTGTGGGGCCCCCCAGGGGGGGCTCCCCCGGGGAGCCCCTTGGTAGCCTCGGGGGCCCCTTCTCAGGGCCCCTTGCTTCTCTTTTTTTGTTTTATAACTACAATTTAATATTTTTAAAGCCCCTTAACGTTTCTGCTGCTGCCTGAGGCCCTCCAAAAGCCCCTCCTGCCCGCAGGGTCACTTCTTCTCCCCTGACCTCATGGGGCCCCCTGGCTCTGAGGGGCCCCCGGGGGCGCCCCCACTGGGGGGCCCCCCTGGAGCCTCCCCTGAGGGGCCCCCAACTGGCACATCCCAAGTGAACCCCATGGGGGTCCCAAGGGGGCCCCTTAGGGTACCCCCCAGAGACCTTCTTGAAGAGGCCCCTGCAGGGGCCCCCAGAGCGACTTCTGAAGGCCTCCCTGAGAGCCATTCTAAGGGACCCCCTGAGGGGGCTCCTGGGGGGCCCCCCGAGAGGCCCCCTGAGGAACCCCCTGAGGGGGCCCCTGAGGGGCCCCCTCAGGGGGTTCGTGAGGGGCCCCCCGGGGACCCCCCTGAGGGGCCCCCAGAGAAGGGGGAGCAGCCCCTTTTGGCTCTGCCATGGAGGGCTTTTGACTATGAATTTGATGGGGACTTTTGCGTGGGGGGCAAAAAGGTTTTGTTGCCCCCGGGGGGCCCCCTGAGGGCCCCCGAAGACCAAATAGACGGGGACACAGGTGTGTGGGCCCTAGCCCTACAGCTCTGTAAGCTCTAGAGGCCCCCGGGGCCCCCGGGGC